AATTTTATTCATGTTCATAATGTTTTGCCTGACTTCTATGTTCAATGCCTAACACAACCTTACAAAAACGTTAAATTCTTACATTTTATCTTGGTTACAGTAATTTTTCTTACAATCTGTATTGTTAAAGTCAACGCGGCCCTTTCATTCATTTTATGTACAGTATTGATGCAGCACCATAAAGAACCGGACCTTTATGGTGTCAGCATTTAAAGTTAAACCCAGACTGTTTTGTAGTTGACTTTAACTGACTTGTATAGGAACCTGAGTCCATTATAATGATGAATACGCTCTGGATGGCTGCATTATGGATTATACAACAGTGTTGTGGTGTGCTTTAAATGCTGAATCCACAGCGCTAAAAGCTGGAAGGGAAGTGTTCCTATCAGGATCCCAGTGAAAGAATATCAACATCAAACTGATAACCCTTGAGCCCTCCTTTAGGCTACATTAAAACACAGTTCGGCTACAACTTCCTGTTTGACTTGTCACTGGGCCGCTGCTGTATCAGTGCAGTAAGTGTAGCTGCGCTGTGGTTTGCCAGGTTTTAGTTTTGGAAGAAATGACCTAAGTGTTAAAACTGGAGCTAACACCAAGTTCAGGCCTTCAAATCTCAAATGTCCACCACCTCTTTTTGCCTCGTTCATCCTTAATCTTTCTTGCTGTTTGTCTTAGCAGTACATTTTTCTCCTCCGTAATATTCACCATTTTCACCGCCTTTTATTTGCTTTTCTCTATTTTTTCCCCCTCTTTCTCTCCCCGCTTCCCCCTCCCCATCCCTCTTCCTCCGTTTGTGACGTCTACTTCTTCTCTCCCTGGTGGGTTGCAGTGAAGGAAGGAAGCCTCTCCCTTTCCCCTCCTCCTCAACACATGTCTCTTCTGTAACTTCTGAGAAAAAGAAAACATTCTGGCTTTGTCACAAGACGTTGTATTTGTAATTTCACACTGTGCCAAACAATAAATGGTGCAACATACAGGATAACTGAAGTTTTAGATCTTTTCCCATTTGTGATGTATCTAACTAGTACATTACTGCCTTGTGTAATTTTACTATGTTATTCTTTGTGTTAAAAGTCATGTTTTCAATCATACATCAGTTCTACATCAGCAATATATCCAAACCATGACTCATACTAGCTTTTAAAATAAAGTGCCTCAGCGTGAAATCTGATCTGGCATCATGGAGTCGAGTCATTTTAGGTGGATTTTAGCCATCGTTTTCACTTTAAAACACTGTAATGTGGTTTGTGTGTCTTCACAAAAATGTTTAACATAAAATTAATCAAACTAAAACTCCAAAGTTTGTTTCATTTAAAATAAAAAAAAAAACAATCAGAACTCCTGATTACAGATTATTCATTTTTACACCCCAAAAATAATACTTTAGAAAAACTCACATTTACTCAACTTTGACAAATTTTAATAAAATGTTTATTAGATAACACAGAGATGGTTTCTTCTCTGAATTGGACACTTTGTTTTATTAGAGTTGACAAAGGAACTTAATGACCTCAACCTTTTAAGATCACTGAAAATAGTAGCTGTGTTTTAAAAATATTCCAATTTTATAGATCTCTAAGTCCTGATGTGAGAAGCAGATGTTAGATGTAAATGACTCAGTGACACTGACATTTTGCGTGCATGCCTTTACAAAATGTTAACAAAAATTTGACCAATTTGAACTTGAGAAAAAAGTTGGACTAAAGGCCAAAAAGCTACTGGCTTTTTCTTTGAATGTTACCTTCAGGTGTTATGAGAATGCTGTATAGATCAAAAATAAATTTGACTTTGCAACATAGCCTATCTAAACGCCTCTGTCTCTTAGAACATCCTACCGTTTCCTACATTCCCACTTCAGCACATGTTCACAACAACATTCATGCTGTTTACAACTTTCGTAGAAGCATTGTAAGAGGGTAGTCTCCTTGGTATCCAAAAATACATTTCCTCGATGAAGGCATTTTTTAAATCTGAAAAGCACTGGTGCAGTTCCACCAGGTGTTGGCTAATTGTTGCTGCCACTAGTGGTACAGCTGTGTGGGGGAGGGGTGCTCTCTGGGGCGGGACCTCATTTGGGCGTTGAGCTTCAGGGAGGAGCTATGTACACACAGGCGGTGCTTTGTACCAGCAAGTGTTTAGGCAGCTCCTTATGGCTACTACATGTATGAGTCAAAGGGAATGACATTGTAACGTGATTGTAACGTGATAAAAGCTCCAAAAAGTCCAAAATGTTTGCGTAATACCCCCCACCTTTGAAATGACTGAAAGTTTTTTGTGCTCAGTCAGTGAATTTGATCTGAACATATTTGTTCTGTATTCCATGAGTCAGCAGAGCAGAGTTTAGATTTCCTGTCTTGCTACATCATGTTTGAGTCTCAGTTCTTCCCTTTCCTAAAGTACCTTGTGATAAAGTGGGGTCTCTGTGAATAAGAGAACATAAGAATTACTTATGAAACAAAATGGAAGCATGTAACCTTTATTTTGATTTTTTTCTATTCAAATTTTTTTACCTCTTCTTTAAAATCAATATGTTGCCATTTACTCCTGTGAACTGTTTCTGTGCTCCTCTCTGTCTTTCAGTAGCAGACCTGTTGTCCCAGTTTGTACCCTACACTAGAGGTTTTAAAGTTGGTCTAATGGTGATGATTGCTGTTACTGATTTTTCCCAGCATTAGAGGCCCCACAGCAGCCACCAAACTGCGCCTATTGTTGTGATTTGATATCGGCACAGGAACAGGAAGTGTGTGTTTGCATGAGTAAGAGAGCGTGTCCTCGTTGATTCTCTGCTCGACACTTTTCCATCCCTTCATTCTTAATTGCTGTGTTTTTGTTGCTGAAAGGCAATGGCAGGTAATGTTTTTGCTCGTGTCTGTGTTTGTGTTTCTGATACAAAAATGTACCCAAAACCACTGGAGAAATTTTAAACACAACCTTCAGAATGTAATCATTGGATGTACATCTACGAATAATTAATGTTAGACAAGACCAAAATGGCTCTAACCCTGTCAGTTTACAGATACCGAGCTAAATTTGATGTTGTAGTAGCTGAGTCATTCACAACACATTTGGAGCATAACATCTCTCAGTATTTAATTATACATATTGTCATTTTAACCAACACAGCTCCAACTTTGTCATTTCTTAATAAAAAGGAGATTTTTTTCAGAACTCTGGCGCAGAGGACAGTGGGTGATATCCATTTCTTTAATGTAGGCCTTTTTGTATTCACATTCAATCCACGCATATTTGCAATTCTGGCATTGTTGCACACATTTTCAGTGTGCATTGCATTGGCAATGCACACTATTGTGATTCGTTTCCCATCCAAGTCATCTCAACTTTGCCATGCTTCTCCTCCTGCATACTTTGTCCTAGAGCTGCCATTGTAATTTATATCTTAAAGCTCCTGTGCCAAATGATGGCTATGCCTTTTGGTGCCTGTAAAACATAGTTTATGAAATATTAATGTTTAATGAATTATAATGGCAGTCAATGGAGCCTTTTGTTGGTCCAATACTGTCCCATGCTGTACTCAACTTGGTAAGGCATCATAGTTTAATATTTCAACTCAGTAGTTCAGTGTTTACAGTACTAATATGATTGTATTTTGATGTTTTACTATATTGTCTTAATACTGCTCTATTTTTGTAATGTTATGCAGTTTAGTGTCAATAGTTGTATTGGCAAGGTAAACTCTTTCTGCACACATACAATCCAAGCCCTGGGATTGTCCTCTGCCACAGCTCCTATAGTGTTATGGTGAACACTGTGGGATTTCATTCAGGAGAACCGGGTTCAATCCCAGCTATGGACAAACTGTTTCAATAAAACTACATAATTTCAGTTTGTTATATTGTCACACAATTACCCTAATTACAAACACCTGCTAACTTGGCAGGTGTTTGACTGATAATAATTAGAAAACACATTTGAACTTGGTCACACTTCATTCTGCAAGTCCAGTGCTGCAGGCAAAGCCATGCTGCAATGACATGCTACATGGCAATGCACACTTGTTTTTACATCGTAAAAACCCATGTCCAGTATATCTTTTTTTCTTTTTTTTCTTTTTTTGTAAAAATTTTGAAATCTTTGGAGCATTTTTTAAATTGTTTTTACTCTATTATCTACATTTGTTTTGGATAGACCGGGACCTTGGGTACAGAATTTCGTTCCACCACATGTTTGTGTGTCGCGAATGACAATAAAACTTCCTTGAAGCCTTGTATCTCTTATATTTGTAGTCAGAAGATAAGTCCAATAAAAAAACAGAAATATTTCAGTGTGCAGCTATTGTAGTTTCCTGAACTATCACCAAATTTTAAAAAGCCTGACCTACCGATTTCAACCAATTTTTGTTTTGTCATAACTGATGTTGTCGGGTGTTGTAAGGTAACAATACACCTTCAATGTTCCAATCTTATTTTACTGAAAAGCATTGAAAGATACCCTTGAAACAATACAAACTTGTTTTAACTGGATAACAGACTTCTCTCACAGCAAAGCAAAAGGCGGCAGTCACTGATTGCTGAGGTACATAAGTTTGGCTTCTCTTGTAGGTATCAGCCGCTCACCCAAAATTAAGGATATTGGTGCACCCCTATAAATATACCGCAAAATAAGCAGATAAACTATGAGTTGATCTATTTTCATCAGTAAAAAAAAAAAAAAAAACCTCTGAGACCTTTTTGCTCCTTGTTGGTGATTTTTCAGTTCATGTTCGTCAGTTTATATTGAGTTGCAAATGGCCACCAGCATCTATTATTGACATCAACAATCTGTCAAAGCTTGTTGGAGCCAACCAATCAACAAAGTATTGACTTGTTTCTTTGTGTTTTTTTTTTTTTGGTAAACAACAAAATATGGATTTGTCTCACTTAAAGGTCTGAAAAGGATCATATTGCAGAGGATATTAATTTATTTTTAAACAGTTGTTACTTTGTTAATTACAGATGCGCTTTAGTTCCCTGCTTATAAAATTGTGCACTTTTGTGTTTTAGTTGACGGCCTGGAGAAATCATCTGTGGCCAGCTGTGACGTGGTTGTAGACAACGCCACCAATACCCAGAATGCTCCGGGGTCTCGACAGCAGCGAGGGAAGCTGTCATCACTGGGAAAAATCTTTAAACCCTGGAAATGGAGGAAGAAGAAAACCAGCGACAAGTTCCAGGATCTCTCCAGAGGTAGGGCGTTCTGTGTGTGTGTGTGGCTGCTAAAGCGATAAAGACAAACCGAGGAACGGTTGCTGATTTTTGTTCTCCTCAATCAAGTGTCTGGACAATGTCACGGCTTGTCTCTTTGGATTTGTGTGCACTGTTAAACCTAAATCAGAGCGGTGTAGGTCCAAAAAAAGCTTTGAAAGTAAACAATTCAAAGGTTTGTTTGGAACTCTCGCTGATTAATTCTTGAGCTGCTGGTTTGGAAACTAAAAGTTTGAAAAAAAAAAATTCAAAAAGCAAAGAGTCTTTTCCATCTTTGCTGATGCTTTCTTCATATTTATATAAGGTTTGTACCTTTTTTATTTTCTTTTTGGGACAATTTAGATAAATTTGTTTTTCAATCAAACTTTTCTTTAACTTGGGTTTTCTTCTTCTGGCAGGTTTACATGATCGAAAGTGTTTTAAGGATGCTTCCTCCACACAAAATATTAAATAATGCTTATTTCATAAGAGTAGAAGGTGGTTTAAAGAGATGCAAAGAACATAAAAATCATTGCAAGACCAAAAAACCAAAGACCACATCACAACTCTTTAATGTGTTTAAAATCCACCTCATTTTCATTTTGTTTGTTTCAGTTCTAGAGAGAAAAATATCTACAAGACAAACAAGAGAGGAGCTCATAAAGAAAGGAGTTCTCATTCCTGAACAAGGTTTGTCAGAATAATTTATTTTATTTTAGTGGAGTCAAAAGGCACATGTCATGCAAATACACTTTTTTGGCACTATTTTACATTTTTAATTAAGTAAAAAAAAATGGGATTTGGGGTGCGGGGTGTTGAATTAGACACGTACTCAATGACATCTTTTTATTCAATTTATAAAATAAAATTTTCCTATTTCAAGATGAGTTGATCTGAGACACGTCTCAGAACTAAGGTAAAAGAGGGGCTTCTGGAGTTACAATAAGGAGGAGTTCAGCGTTGCAGTTCCACTTTATATAGACCCCAACTGAATGGTTTAAATGTGAAAAAGAGGAATTTAAAATATGTCCACTTTAATACACTTCAAAGCACTACTTGTTTCAGTTCCTAATCCTTTAAAGTGTGCTTCAATAACCTTACATCTTTATCAAACTCAATGCAGAACATTTCACAGGAGTGTAAACTTCTTGTTTTTTTTTTTCTTTTTCCTTCTCAGATGAACCAATCATCAGTGAAAATTTGAACGGACATGCCACGTCCAGTTTGACTCCAGAGGAAGTCAAAGTGGACATCCAGTCTCCTGAAACCCCCCTGGAGGAACAAGCCACTGGTCCAGTTAACACCAAGGGGAAAACAACAGGTACTTTTTGGATCAGTTTCTGTTCAAATCTCTGTCCTGGTTGGACGAATGTCCTCCTATTTGTATTTTTAGAATTCCCCTGTAGATATATTCTATCTAAAAAATATTTTCAATGAAGGTTGTCTCAGATCAGGCAAACTTGGCTGTTCCTTGACATTGAATATTTGCTTTATAATGAGTATAAACTGTTAAATCAGCTGGGCAGCAAGTTCAAATATTTTTATATAGTAGTATTTAATATTGCATGCTTCTTTTAGTTGTTATGAAGTCCTTCCTTTAAATGGTTTGCAGCATATCTGCAGCAGTTTTCTGGCTAGCATTAAACTCGCTGAGGGATTTATGAGCAAATTTAATCTGTTCAAATAGATGTTGCCATTACATCAGCCTGCAGCAGCTATCCTCATTCTGAGCTGGATCTCCTTCCCATAATGCYTCCCACTCCCACAGGCCTTTGCTCTTCGGAGCGATGCTGCTTAAGTGTTGTGCTGTTTTCGTCTCGATCCTGTTAGCATCGAACTCGGAGCAATTTGTTTGTCAATAATAAGAAAGGCAAAGGGAGAGAACTCTGACAGTACAGCAACAGATACGGTAACGCTGGGGGTGGGGAAGGTTAATGGGTGCGCATCATCTGCACAACTCGTTTATCATCCCCAGCTCTGTCTTCCTTTACCTTTCAAAGCTACTGGTTGTCAGCATGCCGGTTTAAGCGTCTCTTTTCTTGCTTTCAGTTTCTCTGTTTTTAAAATCTGTTTATTACTTCACTTTTCCTTCCTCCTTGCTCTAACTTGCTCAGAGAAGTGTGATACTAAACCTGCTGCCCGGACGAACCAGGTTCGACCTCGGGAAGCTCTGGCTCAAAAACAACAAAGTGCCACCATGCCCACTACTACCAAACCTACTGGTGGCACCGCCACCCCAACAAAGCACAAAGAAGGTGCCCCAGGAGCTAAAAAGACCACTAAAACGACAGGCAAGACCGTCCYGTCCACACAGGCTAAATCTAACTCACGGCACACTAACACCACAGGTCGAGGGGCTGGTAAGTTCACTTGGTCGGGAATTCAGCCTGCTGGTCTTAAATGTTGCTGCCTTCCTGCATGGTGAATGAAATATGTTTGCRTCACCGAGTGAAGAGAAAAAAAATTCTGTTAAAGGGGACATACTATGCAAAATCCACTTTTTTGGCAAATGCATTTTGTTGTCTTGGAATCTCTAGGAGTGCAAATAAATTGAATTTAGTCTCTCCCAGTGCTGTTTGGGTCATATTTTTCAACCCGTTTAGTTTTCTCTATTTTCTGACATTTTCTCAACTTTTACGTCACATTTGTGACAAAATTACCAAAAAAGGTCTGAACTTTCCAACCACAATTGGGATGTTTTCATACTCCTCAGACTCTGGCTCCAGCATGGTGTTGATGTTTTTTTTTTATTCATTTGTAAATAAAAAGTTTCTGTTCCACGATATAGTCATAATAACTGCTCTATCAAACTGGAGTGGACCTTTCTGGAAGCTGGCTGGGGGTGAAGCACCTTGTTTGGATTTGAAGAGACAGCCTCAAAACAAGTTGATGTGAGAGACACCTCAAAAAAGAGATGAAAGAGGGGCTTGTGGAGTTACAATGAGGAGGAATTCAGACCAATGCATTGTAGTTCTGCTTAACAGTATATAGACCCAAACTAAATGAAAAGTGAAAACGAAGGATTTAAAAGCATACGTCTCCTTTAATAGAGCTTCACCAATTCTACGCTGGTTCTGAAATTAAGTATTTCAGATTTCTCTCTGTAATGAACAGCAAAAATTGTTTATATATTTTAATTTCTGGATGAATTAGAACTTATATTTGTGTGTTCATATTGTTTTCAGTAACCAAAAATGCATGTTTGTTCTGTACATTAGTTCATTGTGATACAAAGGAGTGCTTCCCCACCTTGGTTTTCTTTTCCTTTCTGTTAGAGGGGGATTACCAGTCGCATAACTCTACAAGTGCTTCATTTATAATCTTTGTTTTATGAGAAAGCAGAAGTAAATAAGAGTCTTTTCTATTTGTGTATGAGACAGAGAGAGAGCACGAGTTTGAGTAAAGAGTTCTGCATGGCTTTTTCTCTAATATATTGGTGTGATTTTTCATGTAATAGTGTTAGGGCATGCTCCTCACCCTTTACCCAGTCAGCATGTTTAACATACAGCATGGACAAAAGATGCAACCCTGAGCTCATCGTACCACCGATTTAGACTTTTCTGCAATTTAAAGCTACCAATAAGCGGCACCGAAGTTGTTTCATTCCTGTCTGAATAGCTCATTCATGCTCATTCTTTTCCTCTGGCTGCTTTAGCCAGCACACAAAGCCGCCACACAGACACTTGAAGAGCTGCTTCATTCAGTTTTAGTTTAGGTATTTTGTGTTTGTCACACAGTTTAACAACGCGTCAGTGTTTCGGGGCAAATATGTAGTGGATTGCATAAACACTGCGTGGTCCGTTAATGAAAGGGGTCATTACAGATCATTGCTTGTGTAAATTTTGGTTTTTGACATAATTCAGAACGATGCTAAAGATGGAGCTAAAGTGATGTTCTCTCTCAGAATGCTCCCGCACTTTCTGAAATGGCTCATTTTGTGGTCTAACGTCTACATTACCACTAAACGTTTAGATATGGCCTGCTAAGATGTTCGTTTGAGATTCTTGGAATAAAAATAAACTTCTAATCCCTGTAGAGGCATTTTAACCAATCAGCTCACCAATCACTATAGTAAAAAGCCTTTTGGAAGAGCTAGGARCTAAAATCAAGCTTTTCACACAGAAGCTGTGATTGGCTGTGTTTATGTCGTTGTCTTTCTTCATCTCACAGCAGGGTGGTTTCTGTTCTCCCTGTGCCTTCAAAGGGGTTATTCAGCTTCCATCTGCAGTTCACAAMGAGACATGTATTTTGAATAGTAAAGCATTTATTATGACCATCTGTGAAGGTTTATGGCTACTGCTCGTGTTAACACCTTGTGATGGACTGATAACTATGATGGATGTGTTTTATTGTAACATTTTAAATATTTGATGTCTTTTCTAACATGTTAATGGACGGAATGCAGTCTCTTTGAACAGTTTGCAAACATATATCGGCTTGTCTAGTTTTTTAAGCGAGCAACATTTAACACAAGGAGTGTACCACTATTATCAGTTTTTTGGGYTATGTAACTGATTACCTGGAAGGCTTTTAAACAGTCCTGCTAAGAACACCGTTTCTGCTCCAGTTTTATTTTTTTCACTTCCACACCATCGATGGGACATACGTCAATCAAAGTGCAGCCTTCCTCTCCAGCTGGACAACATCTAAAATTTCCACCAACCTTTTTTCTTTCCTTTTTAGTAACACAAATTGCCTCTGCACATTGACATAAAGCTGACTGAGGGGAAAAAAAACATTTGTTTGGACAGGGATTTATTGGTGGGACTTTAATACTGCTTTATATTTTATATGCAACCTGCTTGTCTTAAGACAACTCAAACACTTTAAAATATTTTCTTTCTCTTTTATTTTCTCAGCCAAATCCTCAAATCCAAAGAAGACGGGATCCACAACGAAAACGACCCCCGTCTCCTCGACTGCACCTCGTTCTCGAGCGCCTAAGGACACCGCTGCTGCAGCAAAGCCTGACCGGGCAGAGGCAAAGGCCGGCCGAAAATCAGACACTCAGACTTCTTCTTCCGTACCTCAAAAAGATTCCACAGAGACTCCTAGTCAGCCTGGGAAGTTAAAACCCTCACCACCTCCCTCAGGCAACAAGCCACTTTCATCTAAAGCCTCGGGAAATGAGGCAGAGGGAAGTCAGGTTGCTTCTAAACCTGATCTGGAGCTGAAACCAGTTCCCGATAGCTCGACTTCAGGTGAAGAGACTCACAAAGGGGCTGCTGCTGAAACCACAGTCCAGCCCCCCCATATCAACATGGCTACAGAGGACACATCCTTCACAGAGGGAGAGACAGACGTGGGCACACGGCAGGAGAAACAGGAAAAGGAGGAAGACGTTAAGAAGAAAGGAGAAACAGAGTGTGGTATAGCGAACGGCCTGAGGTAAAAATCTAGTTGGGACATGCAAGTTTGTCTCCTTAAATTCTTTATTTCCCTATCTGTGTCTCAGTTTTTATTAGTTTATTATGCATTCMACTGAAGTTGCATGATTATTTCTTAAATGAGACATCTTAGGCATGATTTTTCACAGGTTGACGTAATTTTTTTAAAAAAAATTATTCTGTGGTCAATGTATTCTTGTGTGTTGGAGAATAAAAACTGATATTTCAAAACACATGTGCTCACGCCAGCCTGTTTCTGACCTCTGCAGGTCGGAGGAGGGCAATGCAGAAAAGCCACAAGGTCCAAGCGTAAAAACGGAGCACGCTGAGGTGACCATTATCCCCAACAGGCCGATGGATGTCCAGACTAGTGACTCTGATTCTGATGGGCCCATCCTGTACCGGGACGATGATGAAGAAGAGGAGGAGGAAGAGGAATATGAAAACAGTAAGGCGTTCATGGTTCCTAAAAAAAATTATGCAACATTGTCACAAATAAGCTCAAATGAATGAAAATAGACATTTGTTTAAAGAAATTAAGAACAGGTCATTTTTATTGAAAATGATTTCAAAACTAACTACAACCTAGCAAAACGTATCTTAAAAATGGTTGATGTTTATGACTTCATTGCAAAACATAGATTCATAATGATCTATATTTATAGTTTATTTGCAAAAAATAGCTTTGCATTGATGTATATGTGTGATAGGATGACTGGGAGATATACTGTATTATCAAAAAAAATGACACAAAAAACGGCATGAAGCATTGTTGTGAACATGTGCTGAAGTGGGAGCGTCAGAAACAGTAGGAGGTTCTTAAAGAGACAGAGGCCAATTTCAAGATGTTTAGCTAGGCTATGATGCAATGTCCAATTTATTTTTGATAGAGCATTTTCGTAATCACTGAAGAAAACATAGTTACTCGATTGTGGTATAGAAATTAACTATGTGCCTGGAGAATACATAATACCCTCTCCCCCTTAAATAATTAAAGGRATCCATGATTAGTTGTAACATTAGACTTTATTTAATAAACATATATTTTAACTGTAAAATAAGGACTGTAAAAATATTGTAGGATGCTCAGTTTTATGTTCAGTTTTATCTACTTTTATTATACTAGTTTTTATACTTTTGGACGGGGCCATTTTATTTACACACAAAGCATTCTGGGTAAATGAAGACGTGGATAGGTCATCAGTGTGAAGCTGCTAGCGAGCTATATCCACCCTGAAGATTAATCTTGGACAATATCTGATGATCGACTCTTTTAAATGAAACCAGAGAGYGTTGACAGAGAGGAGAAGGTAGAAATGACTCAGSCTGCAACTGAAAATATRGATGGAGGACCTCAGTTTASCTTGTTAGTTTGTTGCACTAGCGCTGAGCTAATACATATACAATATAGAGTTGGCGCTAACGCGAAGGCTAACAGGCTAAGCTGAGGTTCTTCTTCCATGAAGCAGCTCTGTTGTCCTCCATCTATATTTTCAGTTACAGGCTGAGTCATTTCTACCTTCTCCTCTCTGTCAACGCTCTCTGATTTCATTTAAAAGAGCCAATCATCAGATATTGTCCAAGATTAACCTTCAGGGTGGATAWAACTCGCTAGCAGCCTCGCACTGAGGACCTATCCACGTCATCATTTACCCAGAATACTTTGTGTGTAAATAAAATGGCTCCGTCCGTGTTAACACATATTTTAAAAAATTTACAAAACTAAAAAGCCTACAGTATTTAAAATATTTACAAAACTAAAAAGCCTACAGTATTTTTACAGTCTTTATTTTACAGTTAAAATATATATTTATCAAATAAAGTCTAATTTTACAACTAATCAGGGATCCCTTTAAGCTTTTWGTCTAGATGGTTTGTCCATGTGAGTGTAAAATTCTCCAATTGAAAATTGACAAATGATGCTAAAATAATTTACAATTTTGTGCCTTTTAGCTAGGAGAGGTTAGTCGTAAACCTGCAACTAAGATGCTATGTTGGTATTGTTAATTTTCTTTGATGATTTAATATTATCTACCGTATCTCAGTTGTTTCTTTTTGTCACAGCCTCATAAATCCTGTTTCTAATCATCCCTCTCCCTTTCTGTTTTAGGCTCTCTGGCCAGCAAGATCCGTCGGCGAGACACGCTGAACATTAAGCTTGGCAACCGGCCGAGCAAGAAAGAGCTGGAAGAGAAGAACATTCTGCCCCGGAGCTCCGAGACGGAGCGACACGAGCTCCGCCAGCAGATAGGCTCCAAACTAGTCAGGTGCACATGAGAATGCTGTGAAAGTGTGGGCAGGTGTTACCTGTCATCGTTCATTTTGGCTTAGCTGTTTGGTAATAACAGATTGTTAATTATTTTTTAATGCGGCTGTGGGTGGTGTAAGAGTACAAATGACACCATGCACAAACTCAGTGCTGAAGTCACTCTTAAAACCAAAGACTGATGGCAAACTGCCTTTGTATCATTGTTAATAACAAATAGGTGTGAAATGAATCACAAATGCCGCTACGCTGGAATACTTTTTTTCTACATAATGTTGTCAGTAAAATATTTCAGTTGTTTAAATGAGAACGTATTTTTGTTGTTTTAGGAGTCTGAGCCAAAGACCCACAACAGAGGAGCTGGAGCARAGGAACATCCTTAAGCGTAAGTTTCTGAAATGAGCKGTTTAACTGAAGAGTGACGCGATAYATCYGTCCTGTTGGAGGTTACCTTAGACACTTAGGGTGCATTCAAACCAGCMCTGTTCTTTGCTTTAATCAAACTAGTTTGTTTGCCTGGAAATTCCAGGATGTTTGGGGAGGTGTGAACGCATAATCAAACTATGATTCGAACCAAAAAATCGAACTCTGGTGCACCTGCAAACAAAGGTCTCGTTTCAGTTGAAGCATACTCTGATGCGGTTCAACTTCATGTGTGAACGCCAAGCGGACTGGAGACCGCTCCACAAGCAGGAAGCAGACTATAATGCAGGGCATTCTGAGTAATAATAGTAATGAAGTTACTCATATCTTGTAAATACCTCTCTCRATATCTGTATAAGGTGGACATCAGTAGMTATGTTTACATGCACAAAATTCTTYGATAGGATTGAAATGWATTCTGATTAAATAATYCAAATGTATCATTTACATGGGCACAATCYGATCATGCATTTACACGCACCAAGTTTATTCAGAATRGAAGCACTGACATGYGCAGTTGTTAACTTTCCCTAAAAAGACACAWAMACAGAAAAAAGTTCTACCTCYGCGATGAACATAAACAAACGTCTTCTGAGCTCAGAATGGACCTGCAACAGGTTTGGCATAATCCACTCCTCTCATTCYSATTACAAATTCATTCGGAACACTGTGAATCRGATCAGAATAAWCTGAATGGGGTGTTTACATGACGYGTTTTTATTCCAAATGAKTTTAATCCRTTTSTTATGTCCYTGTAAACATAGCTACTGCTGTGAAGTTGGATGCAGTCCTTCTCGGTGAGCGCCGCCTTACATGGCATCGTTCGTCTCAGCTGCCTTGTGCAGAAAACAATATGATGAGGTTCCGCCTCATCTTCCGCTCATGCTGAATCCCTCGTTGAAGAYTTTGTTTGGCACATTTGCCAAAAACAAAAAATAATTCCTACAACCACTAAAATCTGACGTTACTTCATGTTTGTTTACATTTTGTGTCTTTTTCAGAGGTTTTCATGTTGATTCCTTCAGTGGTTCTTGGTGCAGCGCCACCACAGGCGAGGGAGGGAACAGGTTGTTCACAGGGTGTAGTTCGTCTGGCACAGTGCAGTGTGAATACGACCTAAAACACAGTGCCCATGTTCATGCTTGCAAAGTTTATTGAACAAAAAAAGTAAAGTTGAAGAAACTCAATTCAAATTCTATACATTTTTTCATAACTTTGTTTGATAGAAAGTCTTTTTTACCATTTGCAGTCTGCATTGAGTCATTTAGCACCTAAATCTGAACACGCAGGAGATTGTCAGGGCTGCTGCGACACGTTTGGCTACCACAGATTAAATAAACTCATCAGAAGCGCAGCCAGAATCTTCTCTCACAGATGATGAGCTCAAAATGGGAGTTGGCTGGGAGTCATGTCTTGTAATGTCGTTATACAATTTCGTGTTGTGTAATGATAAATAAATTGAGTCTTGGAAAAAAAAMCCATTAAAAACACTAACTCATTTCCTCCACGTGTTTCAAAGACAAATAATGCTTATGATCGTTTTGTTTATAATTTTCTCATTTTTCTTGCCGGTGTGTGCACGTGGAGATATGTTTAGTCATCCACAGTTCCTCAGATTGAACTTTTTGTGTCTCATTTTTCACAGAGATGACACAAATATCTTACTTACTGTGGGTAAATATTTTGTTCCTGTTCTGATGGAAATAGTGTTTGCTTAGGTTTGTCATATTACAAAAACAACTTGAATCATTCTGCTTGAGCGTTTCCTGGCCTGTGTCGTGTCACACTGACATGTAGTTCCATCATTTTACCATTTTAAACTTTAGTTTGTTTTTTTTTACGCGAGGTTGTATGAAGGACTTCCGAGTAGTCTGCATCACACCTGCAGTAGAATGCAGTGATCTCAGTTTGGAGATCTAAACAACAGGAACAGTTTTCTGACTGGTAGTCCACAAACTGTGTATCTGTTTATTTTTTGTCATTGTTTTTTAATTGTAAAAACGGGTATTGAAAGGATAGATAATTCTATTTTTAGTTTATACTCCAAAAACTGGAATATGGTCCTTTGTTAAACTTTCAGTTTGAGAAAAATAAAACAGTCTTTCAGACCATTTAAAGTGGAGTAACTTACAATACTTTTTAAAAACAGCCGACTGCCTGTAAATAAATACCATCAAATTACTTGTGCATTTCTTTAGCTAACTATTGCAGACTGTGTTTTTATTAATATAGCTAGTCTAGCTAATTTCTTTTAAAAACTATTTATCTAGCTCCACCTTAAATGGTCTGATAATGGGATRAACAAACACGTTTTACTTTGGMCCCKTCTCCATTGTCAAGTCTCACRATTTGGTTCATGTCTTTGGTTTTGCTCAGGTGTGTGTGTGTCTMCAGGTCAGTGTATCCCTCATTCTGTGGGCGGATCATCAGCATGCGACTTAAGCCATTGTGGTTTAAAAAGAAAAGCCATGAAGGTTTTATCGTCTGATAGAATGACTTATCTTTCTCATTTGGCGTGGCACTGTTTATAACTACATATACAGCCACGGGCAGCCAATTGGTCCAAAATCTCCCAGTATATCTGCTTATTTCAGATTGYTCTGTGCAGCTCACGCTAAATGTGCTCGTCTCCTGCACCACTCTCATGGAAGAATTTCCAGTAGGAGTTTGCAAGTTCTGCCTTGGCTCAGCCAATCAATGGGCAGATCTCTGATGATGTCAAGATTGTTTGCACACAGCACCCGGTTGTACCTGCTTTGGTACATCTGCCAAGGTGGTTCTGAAAGCGCAGTTGAAACCGGAAATGGAGACACATTTGGCCGAGGCTGAACCTCATACAGGCACACCATGGAGTTTGGGCTTTTATAACTAGCAATGCCAGTTTCACGTAGCAAAAACATTGTGCCAGTTTTTGGCCTGATTTTTCCCTTCCAACATTCTTAAGGATGCTTCAGTTGTTGTGATTACTCAAAAGATAGTTTTAGGAGGTATTCCTGCCATATGCAGTATTTTAAGTGTGATCCAGTCGGCTTGGAAGCACGTCAGGACCTCTCCGACCTCAAATCAGGGATATTCAACATGTTGGATTGTCTTTGGCCCTATATCACAGCATGCATGGTGCTCCCTGAGCACAAACGAGCCTGTTGAATGAGACGTTGGAGATGTATTTTTTTTAATTGTTTTTTCTCTGTTAAAGTAGTCAACAAACTATCCCCATTGCTTCTTCCTCGTCTGCAATGTTTATTCACTCTGAACTCATGTTGCGTCTTGAGGTCTGGCAAGATTTCCTGTCTGAAGGTCAGTGAAATGTTCCACAGTTTTAAAATCTTTCTGTGTGAACAAAGCRTAACCATACGGAAGAGCATTGCATTCACAAAAAAAATAAATAAAAAAGGCTGTTCTCATAGTTATGAAATAAGATGTCCTAATTATGAGAAAAGATGTCATAATTACGAGATTCTGATCTTATTAAAAAGGTTAAGAGTCATAGCTGATCCACAATACTGGAAAAGTGAACAATGACAGCACTATCTGATTTAATATGCTTTTATTTGCTTTTACGAATGAGACACTGGAAAATATTGAGGTCTCTTAATGTGGATGGTGTCTGCCAGTTTGGTAATAAATCCACTAGTTTACAGGAGTTCTGTGTAATTCAGCTTCGTCACAAACATAACATCGGCAGTCATATTAATGTCAGCTTCCTTAACCGGTAGTGATGGCATTAATATTAGTATGGCGACATTACCCAAGTATGTTAAGTCAGGGGTTGTTCAGGCCAAGAGTCCACTCTGACATGCTGGAAGTGGCTCTCTTCCTGCAGGAGCAATTAAACCAGCACAGGATGCTTCATGGCTGTAAGTAGCTAATGAATCTGAAATGCACCCAGGCTGACTGGGTGGTGTCCCAGAGAAATGTCCAGCGTTGTATTACGGCCTGTACGTACACAAAGAGGACACACTTAGTCCTGTGTGAACCCTGCAGGTCATGGCTTGATTAAACTTTGGTGGGCAAACTATAGCTCGGTCTGGGCACTCGTGCATTCGGCATCACACCCTAACACGTCCTGGTGGAAAACAGTAGCTCATATTGTTCCATCTGGTACCTGCTCAGAATCCTAGATCCTTGTCTTTTCTTGTAATTATGAGATCTAGCTAACTAATTTTAAATTCTTTAACAAGTGTCAGCTGATATAGCTTTTATGTCACTTATRATTCAGATGTGACACTTGTTTCCTGGAGCTTCTGATGCTTTTCGCACATTAAACCTTTCTCCAAAAGGTCCATGGTGAGGAACTTGATGCCACAGCAGGTTCAGCATTGAGTTGCCTTTGTCAACAGTGTTAACTTCCAGTTTGGCAAAAAATAAAAAGACTGACTATTTTTTGCAGTATGAAATAGCTATCCCTTTTTGTGTTTTTCAACATCTGTTTTTAAAATGAAAAAAAAAAAATCATGACTAAAATGTACACCAACCCCAGAACGTCTGGCACAATTCTTGCAACTCCACTGGTCAGAGTAATGAAGCATTGCAACAGCTTCTGTGCATGCATTCACTTGTAGCTCCACAGGTGATTTTGGTGGAGAAAGTTTTTACAAAGTAAGTGATCAATGCAACAGGAAACCAGATGTTTAAAACAACAAAAACAAAATTGCTTCTTTTTTGTTGTTGCTCCAGTCCTCAGTGTTTGTTAGTTTGGCTCTCAGTCATAGTTCCTACCTGATCTGCTCTGATCTGATCTGTAAGACATGTGGCAGATCTGCAAAAGTTGGTCTTTAATCTGTCTTTCATACAGAAACCATAAAAATGTATACAGTGCAGTCAACTTGATAGATATTGAGCTAAAATTAGGTGTGGTAGTAGCTGAGAAGAGCTCACATGATCTTACAATGAAGTATGAGATTGTGCATAATGTTTTTTACAAGGTTTGGGTAAAACTTCTCATCACAAGATTATCTTTTTTTTTGCCTGTAAATGGAAGTTCCAACTAAGCAGCTTTTATCATCCGTTTGTTGATCTGCCTCAGAAAATTGTAATCTTGATAGAATCCAGATWTGATCCTTCTTTTGGGAAATGAGCCTGCAGTTTAGGTCTGGTAACTTATCAGTACTGATAACACTTCACTTCTCAGTGTGCAGATCTAGTAGACTAACAGCACTGACATTAAATGTGTGACCTTTCATTTTGGAGAAAGGAAAAAAAAAGAAGCTAAGAAGTTGCGAGACTGTTGTTTGTGTTATGACAGACACTTGTACGGTTTAAAGTTAAATCTGTGATATACCTTCTAAGAGTTTCTGGACTGCCAAAAGTTGTTGATCCACACCTACGTACTGTCCATCCAAAAAGTGTTCTAGTGTCATTTTACATTACAGGTTTAATGTTGATGAATCATTCATATCCCCCTTTTGTTTATGTTTATGTAAAGGTAATCGCCACTGCGCTGCTCTCAAAGCCACGCGCACGCTTTCATCTAGCAAATCATGTGTTCGGTAAAAGCAGACACTTGTTGTAGACAGCGTAGGTGTAAAGTGACTCTGAACTTTCTGCACGCAGAGAAAAATGAGGCTGAAGAGAAAGAAGCCAAGCAGGAGATTAAAAGGAGACTCACAAGAAAGGTACTTTGAACGCCAAACACACACACACACACACACAATTTTCTATCCTGATGGGGACTGTGCATTGACTTCCATTCATTTTCCAGTCATTTCTACAGCCTAACCCTGAGCCTTTACCCTAACCACCCCAGCACCTACCTAGCCCTAAACTTAACCTAAACTCAGTTCACACCTTGGTTCTGAATCCCCACCCATGGGGCCTTGGTCCCCATAAGGACCATTGGGTTCCTACAAGGCTGTTTGTCTGGAATATGGTCCTCACAATGTAACAAAAACAAGTCCATACAAGCARAAAGGACACTATTCATATCTAATATAAGAATTTTGCACCACTTTGAGCCATGAAAGATGTTGGAAGAGAAGCTTTATGTGCTTTTGTGATGCCATCTGCTGGACGAAAGTGGAAGTGAAATTTCTATTTGAACTTGAAAAATGAACATTTTAAGCTGAAATCCAAAGAGAGCTGTAAGCTAAAAAAAATTGAAAACTCTGATGTTATAACTGCATGTGTTATCATTTTCCCCACCTTCTACTTGTATGTGTAGCTGAGTGTGAGGCCGACAGTGGCAGAGCTCATCGCTCGCAGGATTCTGCGGTTTAATGAGTACGTGGAGGTGACGGAYGCTAAGGATTATGATCGGAGGGCAGACAAACCATGGACGAGACTCACTCCTGCTGACAAGGTAAAAACCCTGCAAAGTGTTTAACAGAGAATGGTTTTATCCTAGTTTAAGTGCTATTTTTGTTAATGACCTTATTTATTACCAGTCAGGACTGCAAACTTAATGATTTCTTTGAGGAAAAATAATTAGCAAGATTTTAAACATAAAAAAAATCCTGTCAAAACTCTAGTATGTGGTCATCTGAAGAGTTTATTTCTTTTGATTGTTTCGTCTTTAGTAAAAAAATCTGCTTCTATAAATACACTTTTCCATAATGACCTTTAAAAAAAATAGTTTTTTTTCCTCCAAAGCTGCAGAGRTTTAACCTCATTTGGTCACAAGAGCACAACTAAAGTCAGCCATTGATTTTATTTGGCTCACACRTTGCTGTTTCACGTCATCCCAAAGGTGCTGGAAGGGATTTAGGTCGCGGCTCAGTGCAGGTTCTTTAAAATTTCGCCAAACACMGAAATCCAGGACTTTGCAAGCTTTAGTTTGTCCACCTGGGAGTTGTTTGGTCACAACTGAACAAAACAATTACTGCAAGCTAAGATTACTACATTTTGTTTTGAATGTCATTGTCTCATTTTGTAACATGTTTGCTAATCCTTGAAATATGGTGGCTTTGACTAAACAGAACAATAAATAGAAATTTTAGCTTTGTGATTTTTACATTTGGAATTACTGACTAAGCCGTTTGAGTCAAACCTGCCTCCTGCTGTTTGTTATAAGAATTACATATTAAAAATATCTCACTGGAGTCTGATTAGTTTTCAGTTGAAAATGAATAATATTTTTGTACTAATATTAAATAATAAATGAAATATYTATGGAAATAACAACCAGTCTGCTTGGAGTGTGTATTAGAGATGATGATCAGCTACTAAACTGTAGCTCAGTGTGTAAAAACAACTGAAATAAAGTCATTTTAATGTTTTACTTGAGCTGTGGCGGTCATCTTGAACGATGTTGACTCCAAAAAATGAATTAGTTATTCAGTCATTTCTGAGATTTTAATAAAATTATGTTTAGTGGTTCAAGAAATATAAACAGATTCACAAACCGGTAAATTGCATGATGGCAGTGTAGGGGTCACCTCGAGTGAAGAAACAAGTTTTACTGCCTATTATTATGATTAACAAATGCATAAACATTCTTAGTTAAACAACAAATGAATCACGAACAGAAAAGATTGTTTCTGTTCATTATCTGATTTATGGTGATGATTTTCTCTGTGATTTTTTTATACCATTAATTAATCTTTTAGGCACGATAAAAG